GTCGTTTAAATCATGGTTCTATAGGGCTGTACAACATGAGTTAGATACTCGAGTAAAGTTGAGCACAACATTTCACCCTCAAATGGACAGACAATCTGAGTGCACTATTCAGATATTGGAGGATATGCTCCGTGCATATGTTATAGAGTTTAGGGGTTCTTAGGATCAGTTATTGCCACTTGCGGAGTTTGCCTACAACAACAGTTATCAATCAAGCATTCATATGGCCCGTATGAGACTTTGTATGGTAGGGGGTGTCGGACTCCAGTGGGTTGGTTCGAGTCGAGCGAGGTTAGACTATTGGGTTCGGACTTAGTTCAGAATGCTTTGGAAAAGGTTAAAGTGATTCTGGATCGACAGTGTACAGCCCAATCCAGACAGAAGAGTTATGCAGATCGGAAGGTTCTCGATGTTGCATTCATGGTTGGGGAGCAGGTCTTGCTCTGAGTTTCGCCCATGAAGGGTGTTATGAGGTTTGGGAAAAAGGACAAGTTGAGCCCTACGAATATCAGGCCTTTAGAGATTCTTGAGAGGGTTGGAGAGGTGGCTTACAGACTTGAACTACCACCTAGCCTAGCTATAATTCATCTAGTATTCCATGTTTCTATGCTCCGGAAGTACCAAGTCGATCTGTCCCATGTGTTATATTTTAGCTCAGTCCAGTTGGACAAGGATTTGTCATATGTTGAGGAGCTAGTGGCCATTTTAGACCGACAGGTTCGAACGTCAAGGTCGGAGGACATTGCTTCAGTGAAGGTTCGATGGAGGGGTCAGCCGTTCGAGGAGGCAACTTGGGAGACTGAGCATGATATGCGTAGCCATTATCCTCATCTTTTCACCACCTCAGGTATATCTCTATGCTCGTTTGACGACGAAAGATTGTTTTAAGATTGGAGGATGTAATGACCCGGCCGATCGTTATAAGATTATTAGCCCCAATCCCCTATTTATTGTCCCATTTGTTTCATTTTATGCTTACGTGACTTGCCGGGTTGCTTGGTGCCGGGTTCGGGGGAGTTTCGGAGTGGAATGGGACACATAGTCCCTAAGTTTGAAGTTTGAGTTGTAAGAGTTGATCGTAGTTTGACATGTGTGAAGAAGACCCTGGAATGGAGTTTCGTCAATTCCAGTAGCTCCGTACGGAGATTTTGGTCTTAGGAGCGTGTTTGGATGTAGATTTGGAGGTCCGCATGTCATTTCGGCGTTATTTGGCGAAAGTTGGAAATTGGAGGATTTTTGGGAAGTTTGACCGGGAGTGTACTTTTTGATATCGGGGTCGAATTCTGATTTCAGAAGTTGGAGTAGGTCCGTAATGTCAAATGTGACTTGTGTGCAAAATTTTAGGTGCGTCGGGCGTGATTTGATAGGTTTCAACATCGTTTGTTGAAGTTGAAAATTCCTTAGTTTCAATAGGCTTGAATTGGGGTACGCTTCATGTTTTTGATGTTGTTTGATGTGATTTGAGGGCTCTACTAAGCTCGTATGATATTTAAGGACTTCTTGGTATTTTTGGTTGAGGTCCCCGAGGCATCGGGTGGATTCTGGATGGTTAACGGATTGGAATTTGGAATTAAAGAATGGATGAGGTGCACCAGTTCTGGTGTAATCGCACCTGCGCAAGTTTGATCGCAGGTGCAATCTTGAAGAAGTGATAGGGCGAGCGCATAGGAGGAACTAAAGGGGGTGGATAGTGGTCGCAGGTGCGACATGAAGGCCGTAGAAGCGGAGCCTCTCCTGAAGAAGGATGATCGAAGAAGCAGAGAGTGAAGGAGCTGAGGTGGCCAAGGTTTTCCGCAGAAGCAGACGAGTAGGTGCAGAAGCTTTTCAGCATATGCGGGTGGTGGTGCGCAGGTGCGATATTTGGCAGTTTAAGTGAGTTCTGCAGATGCAGAGATTTCACTGCAAAAGCGGTACCGCAGAAGCGGATTGACTGGATAGAAAAGGGGAAAGGTCGAGGGTTTGATTTTATTATCCATTTTTGGACCTTCCAACCTTGGATTGAGGCAAGAATTTGAGAGATTTTCAGAGGACATAATTGGGTAAGAATTCTTGATTCATTTTTGATTATATATCACTAATCTATCATTAATTTCTTCATTTAATTAAGGTTTTGGGTTGAGAAATTGGGAGAAAAATGTGTAAAGTTCTTAGACCAAATTTTGAGGTTTTGATCGAGATTTTGGTATGATTTGATTAATTTTGGTATGGGTGGACTCGTAGTTGAATGGATGTTTGGATTTTGTGACTTTTACCTGATTCCGAGACGTAGGCCTGGGTCGACTTTTTGGTGCAATTTCTTAGTAGTTCTTGTTAACGTCATGAATTTATTATTTAGATTAATTTCTTATAGGTATATTTATAGTATGTAATTGTTTTTGGCTAGATTTGGGTCATTCGAGATTGAAAAGTCGAGGGAAAGACATTCTTATTGACTAATTGAGCTTGGTTTGAGGTAAGTGACTTGTCTAACATTGTGTGGGAAAAATCTTCTTAGGATTTGGTACTGTTGTAATAATTTGTGATATTTGAGTGTCGTGTACGCGAGGTGGCGAGGGCGTACACGGGCTAAACATTGAAATTCCAGTCTTTTCTAAGTAATTTCCTTTTTATGCGTTAATTGGGTTATTCTAGCACATGTAATCATCATGTTTAGCCAAAATTTACTTGTCTACGTGTTTCATCTCTTTAATTGAAATTTGTACAACATGCTTAGTTGAATTACCCTTGTTCCTTGATTCCATATTTGTTCTGTAACTGTAGGACTCCTTGCTTGTAGTATCATTATTTCATTTACTACGTGTTGACTTTCGTGATTCTTGTTGTGATGACTGTTTGGTTTGACACGAGGTTTTTTACGTGCGGAGTGTGATTGACACAAGGTTTCTTCCATGCGGAGTGTGATTGGCACGAGGTTTTTTTTCATGCGGAGTGTTGTTGGCATGAGGTTTCTTTCGCGTAGAGTGTTATTGGCACGAGGTTTTTTTTCATGCGGAGTGTTGTTGGCATGAGGTTTCTTTCGCGTAGAGTGTTATTGGCACGAGGTTTCTTCCGTGCGGAGTATTTTTTGCACGAAGTTTATTCCGTGCGGTATATTGTTGTCACGAGATTTCTTTTGTGCGGAATGTTATGAGCAAGAGGTTTCTTGCCGTGCGGTTACTGTTTTCCTCTATTTGCTATGTTGGTTGTTTTTGTTCCTTAAATTGTAAGATATTCATTTCCTTATGTGTTGTAATTGTCTTCTTGTTTTCTATGTTGTTTTTTCGTACATTCTTATTGTTTCATTAACCTGCCATTTATTCTATCATTTCACCTTCTGCCTTTTTTTCGCCCCCATATCGCCACACGGGGGGAACATGGGGACGTAAAAAAGGGGGTCCTATCAACTTGTTCCGATCTAGGATAATAAGCTCATGAGCTTGGTCTTATTTCACCATCAAGAAAGGAAAGAAGACTTCTTATTTCTCATATTCCAGTCGGGCCCTGACCTGACCTCGTTACTACTCTACCGAGGTTAGGCTTAGCACTTACTAGGTACCGTTGTGATGTACTCAAACTACGCTTTTGCACATATTTTTTGCAGGCTTAGGTACTTATCAGCCTCGTGCTACTGCTTGGAGACTTCAAGGTATATCTGCCAGCATCCGCAAACCTCAGAGTCCCCCTCTATCCTTATTATATTGTCTTTTCTTTATTCTCTTAGACGATGATGTATAGAGATATTTAGTACTTCCTTAGAGCTTGTGGCTTGTAACTACCAGATTTTAGGAGTGTCCTTCTTTGAGTTGAAAATTTTACTTGTACATGCCAAGGCAATTTTTCAGTTATATATTTACCTGTTGATGTTGAGGTTTAGTCGTTATTTCAATTCTTTTCTGTAATTGTTAGGCTTACATAGTCTTAGAGACTAGGTGCCGCCACGACATCCTACGGAGGGAAAACTTGGGTCGTGACATATGTGCTAGTTACTCGAAAATTGCAATTTATTAGAAATGCAATTTCCGGCACCAGAAAATGACTCAACGATCGAAAACTTCAAATGTAGAATTGATCTAATTTTTTTATTTTTTTTAGCTAAGTAAGCCTATCGGACTATCTATGCCAATTTACCATGACTAGCAAATTCGCAATTTCAACTTGGACATAGACCCTAATGAATAGAACCTCGTATTCTTGATGGTTTAATAAGAATTTTGCAATTATTACAGTTGATATTTGAGTACTTAAGCTTAAGTTCTTCACTGGTCGATCGACTTCTAACTAACTTTAGTTTGGAAACTTATAGAGTACAATATGTAAATTATTTTTCTAGAATAAAAAGTACTTTAGATTTTAACGGAGAAATAGTGAAATGGTTTAAGTTAGTTTACGTACATCACAAGTTTAATCGCATTCAAGGTAGTAGTAGCAGTAATAGTAGGAGATTAAGGCAATTCTGGATTTGGATGTTAACCTTAGTATCAAGTTGGTGAACCTATTTAAATGAGTAACTGGATAGTGACTCTTAGGAAATTCATCAAGATTTAGAATTTATTGACTTCTGATGAGTTGTATTTTTCGAGCAATGAATTTAATGAAACAAAAATAATTTTGTGATTTTGCCGGTACAACAGGTAAAGTTTAAATTTAGTGATCATTTGTGAAATTATTTGACTTTATTGATACAAAAGATAAAATTTAGTAACCATGTGTGAAATTAATCCTCCAAATGCCCACCCATTTAGGTTTTGTATGACATTTGTGAACAGAAACCTAGTATTTCTAGAAATCGGGAAAGTAATTTTTTCATAAGTTAATGAACATAAAAGTCATTGGTAAAAAATAAAAATTATGTAGCACGGTAATAAAAAAACTCATTTGTCAAATATATGTCTTTGTCCAATTTTATTTAGAAGCTTTTCATGCCTAATTAATTCTATATAAAGGCTATAAGTTCTGAATATTTTCTAACAAACTTGCTTATTTCTAATCACTATTTGTTGTTATTCCGATCCGAAGAAGAACATATGGGTTTGAAAGGCAAGTTGGTTGTTTCAATGGAGGTGAAATGTGGAGGACACTTATTCCATGATCTTTGTCAAACCAAACCTCATCATCTATCAAACATAAGCCCCAATAACGTCACAGGTTTTGATCTTCATGAAGGTGAAATTGGAGAGGTTGGTTCTGTAGTTACCTGGAAATATAAGGAGGGTAAGTACAAAAAACTTTTTCCTCAATGTAATTCAATTTGATGAATTCCCTTCTTTTTCTTGCCATATTTGCATACTGCATTTGTCTCACATCATGTGCTTGAAAAAGACTTCCAAAAGTAATGTGATTGTTCTAAATTTATGTTGCTCGGATCCTTTAAAAATATCGTCGCTTGTGTGTTGGATATTTCAAAAGTTATTCTTTTTCAGTATAACTTTCATTTATACAGTATTTCACATAATTTTTAGAAAGAAAAAAGTGAGAAGAAACATAACAAAATTAAAAATTATCATGGCCCATAGTCAAGTGATATCGATGAAAGTCTCGCACATGATAAGTATGTGATGGAATCTTACTGCCTACTTTCTCCTTCCTCTGTCCCTTTTTTCCTGTGAAATAAAAGAAATTTAAAAGCCAAAAATATTAATTTTTAGAATGTATAAGGTTATAACTTTTGTAAAGAAGTGTGGACCGTTGAGCTCATATTAGCGTCTCTTTATACTTTTGGATCTCTTTTTATAATGATTATAGATGGAAATGCGAAGATTGCTAAGTGTGTCGTCATTGAAGTTATTGATGATGAAAAGAAATCAAGCACATGGAAATTGATAGGAGGAGACCTCCTGGAAGCGTATAACGCTTTCATTGTTAACATATCCTGCTATCAGCACTATATTACATGGACACTTGAGTACGAGAAGAAGACTGAAGACACTCCAGAGCCTATAACTTTCTTGGGATATGTCACGGGTCTGATCAAGGATGTAGAGGATCATCATGTCAAGAAATAGAAGAACCCATGCCATTTGATATGGTTGATCATATATAATATGTGTGTGTGTTTGTGTCATGAGCATTGGACAATATTGGCTCGTACCTGAATGTGAAATAAATAAAAATGTTGTGTTAAAAAGTAATAATGTTCAAATGCATTGGCTAATCTTAGAATGTGGAATAAATAATAATGTGTTGTTGAAAAATATATCGATTTGCTTGTTTTTTTAATGTATTTCCAAATGTCCGTATTATGAACTTTAGCAAATTAAAATGTTTGTTCAGTGTACTATGTATTCTCATTCTTTTGTTACTAGCTTGTATCACTTGTAGTCAGATGCGCAATGAATACCGCAACTGTAACAATTTCTGTCGTCCTCTAGTCTTCTTTTAAAAGAAGGAGGAATGCCCCAACTATGAATGCCTTCCATGTCTATAGTCTTATAAAAGTAGTAATGCTGCATTCGCTCTTCGATTATCGTGAAATTTCTAAGGGCTCTTCTCTATGAAGAATGCCTCCTCGTTCTTTGTCCATTCCCGTTCGATGGAGAAAGAACTTCTTTCGGGTGCTCGGTCAGGCTTGCTTAGGCCGAGTAAGCAACTTCGCGCAGCTGCTACGCTCTTGCTTCTTGCCTTATCTTTTAGTAAGAAACTAATCTGCCTCATAGGATGACGCCTATCTTCCAACTAGGACTATGTACGGATATCGCGAGAATTTGTCAACTCTTTCCAAAGCAAGGGGCATTGCTCTAATCACTTATGTAATTTTTTTATGTAACAATCCTCATTTTGAATGCCTAGGTTGTAACCTTTATAGTGATAACGCGTCAAAAAATATCTTTCGATCAGAAAAAGTAGTCTGTGACTGACTAGCTGACGCTTCTGCCTTTCCACTTTCCACGAGTCAAAAAATGTAACGATTAGGCGGCCGTAATATTTTGTTACGTTCTACCGCTGTTACATCAGAATAAAAGGTTCCACACGAGCCCCAGTTCTGCGGCAATGGATGAAAGACCAACAGAAGGGCATTAGTCGCCAAGAAAGCTGGTGCGTGTAGATCAAAGCTTAGTGGAGAGACCATACATAAGAAAGTTACAAGGACAGGTTATCAACATGGGTTGATGGGAGGTTCGATTACAGAGAAGTCAAAACAATTCTTGAATGAGGCAAGGGGTAAATCGAAAAAGAAATATTTATTGGTTCTCCCTCCTATTTTTTATGAAGAGAATGAATCTTTTCTCGAAGGATCAGAAAAAAAATGGGTTTGGATTTACTGCGGGAATGATTTGGAAGATCCAAAACCAAAAATAGTGGTCTGAACCCGATGAGCCATCCGTCTCAGTCGAACCAAACTCTCGAACCCGTCCAGAAGTTGAGGATGCAACTTACGATTTAACCAGTTAAAAAAAGTTTTAGCCATAAAGATTCAGCAATCCGTTATGTGGGCGCCAACTCCAAGTTCCTTCTTTTCTTTCTTTTTTCAAGTCACTATCAGAATATGACGTTCTTTTTTGCTTTAGATAAAGCATCAGTGGACCGACTTGACAGGACCTTTTATCGAAAAAAATAATCTTGCAACTACGAAAACCACAACATAAGCACTCGTTTTCCTTATAATGTTTTAATAACGACTCACACTTTTTAATGATACTTTTTATGGTTATGACACAAGAGTCAAGCCCAGAAAGCATGGCAAGTCATTTACCAAGGCCATTACCAACAACGGGGATTATGTTCGAGATGGGGAAACAACTGTTTCATGACTAAAGGAAAGAATAATGGTTATACACATCTTACCATATTTACTACTTCCAAAAAAAGAACTCAAGGACTGGACTATGGAGGGACTTAGAAAAGCCTACTAGCAACCTCTCTGCTCATCTTTCTTAAGGTTTACTTTTTCAAGCTTGCTCTTAAAACCGGCCTATCTCTCTCCCCTATGAAAATGTTCTTCCGTAATCACTCTCAATAAGACATCCATTCCCTTTCAAATGAAAAGAGAACTAGACTTTTCTCTTCATCATTGAAATCTGCCAATCAATCGCAGTGCGGTGCTCTCAAAAAGCTCAATCCTCTAAGGATCCGATTTCGAGATCAATTTGACAATGAAACTCTTTAAGCAATGATCTTACCTATATCATTTATCTTGATGCGATACAAAAGACGACTCTCCCTCTTCCCATTCTACCATCCAGATGGGCCGATTGTTCTAAGTTCTGAGATTGGGTCGGATAGGACTGATGAGCTTTGAATTTGGATAGATCTAGTGGGCCTCCTTGCACGGACTTGGGCTTGCTTACTGGCTTCACTAAGGATGAGATTCCCTACCCGATGAGTCTGGCTAGGCTATTAGGCACTGTTACGACCCAAATCGATGGGTCGCGACGAGCACCAGGTACCTTACTCAACAGAGTACCAACGTAACATATCTTTCTTATTACATCATCATATACACGTGACATACGGGCCTAATAAGCCAACATAATTATTTATAAACTCAAAACATAGGCCGACAAGGCCATACAATCATTAACGTACACGACATATGTCTACGAGCGTCTAAGAGTACATAAATGTCATAAAGGTCAGGACAGAGTCCCACCATCCCAAACAATACACATCTAAATCATACTAACCAAACGAGCAACTCCGAAGCAAATGAAGCGCACCAACATCTTCCGCTGAGCTAATAGTCTACTTAGAGGGCTCTCGACCTGTCTATCGGGACCTGCGGGCATGAAATGCAGCATCCCCAAGCAAAAAGGGACGTCAGTACGAATAATGTACCGAGTATGTGAGGCACATAAATAAATACATAAGAGACATGGAGGAAATATAAAGTACATGACTCAACCTGTAAGTGTGAATAACTTTGTAAATCATAAATACTTTTAACGTCATGCATAGGAGTTTGAATGTCATGTCGTGCGTAGGTACATGTTTCATAATATCATCTGCCTCTGAGGCCATCCCATCACATCATATCGGCCACTGTGGGCAAAATCATCATTGTATACCAGCTGATAAGGTGGTGGTACGTATATAATGTCATACCCTTTTCCATATCCCATATACACATGTATATATATATACGCGTATATAACGCCGTTTGAATCATATTTAAGTCATTGTGGGCAACATCATCATCATATACCAGCTGATCAGGTGGTGGTGTGTATATAATGCCGTAACCTTTTCCCATATCCCATATATATATATTTACATATATACGCATATATAACGCCATCTGGTCATGGGTCAATGCACATGTATAAATGAGTGAAATGTATGAAAAATACATAATAATCTCGATATTCCTTCCGGATAAACTTTTTCCAAATGCGTATTATTCTGAGACCCACGAGCAGAAGATAAAATATTATGACACACGGAAATCAAGAACATAGATATCTCTAATACTTCTATGAATAGAGTCATTCATGGAATTTGTGCATTTGCACGTTTCATTCGTATCGTATGGATCATGCCAAAAGAAAGAAGGGATAGCCTTAACATACTTAGAGTAGGAACAACTCCGTATATTTATCCCGTTGGGAACCTTCGTGGATTGAACTTAGACCCAAAAATCGGATTAAGATTCCAACCTTTCAAAGTAAGAATGGAATCCTTCTTGATTTCTTTTTGAAACCAGTAATGTTACTACTTCAACTGTTATTCCCTTCACCCTCTCCTCTTCATTTGTATCCATTATATAGGCCATATAATTGATACTATTTTTCTCATGACACCAACAACTTTTACAAATGTATGGATGATGCAAGTAGTTTATTAACAACGAGTTCTGGGTTAGCTCTTGTCCATTTGTCATTGGTAATTAGTAGATTATGAATCTTACAACCATAATTCATCTAACTGATGAGATGGTATAAAAGAATCATGATAAACCAAGCTTCATATTGAGAATCTTATCACAGGTTCTCCTAAGAACCAGGCGAACACCACGAACTGTGAAAAAACTATACACATGCTCCACCAATTAAGGAACACTTAAAGCATAAGTTGACTATAGTATGCTAGTAAAACCTCATTCAAGACTTGTACATGGCATGGAGGATAATTATCAATTATTGAATTCAAAGAACAAAAAGTAACGTTCTTGAATTCTAAGACTTGTGCATGCATTATCATTTCCTAGGTTGCCACCTAGGTTATTTTAATACTTAGTCTGTCACGACCCGGATTTTCCACCCTCGGAAGTCGTGATGGCGTCTACTAATGTGAGCTAGGCACGCCAATTATTGAACCATCTACCTTTTTACCAATTTTATTCTCTTTAACAATTAAAAAGAAATAAGATTTAACCAACGGAATTTAAGATAAGCGGAAGAAAACAATAACCTATCTAAACATGAATATCTATTACGACTATTTGATGTCTCGACTACCCAGAACTGGTGTCACAGTTTTGCAGACGGTCTAAGAATACTACAAATAAAGGTCTGAAAGAATTTAATACAACACTGTCTCTGGAAATACATGTAAGAAACATGAAGGTAAAAATAAAAGAGATGCCAAGGCCTACAGACGTCTGCAAGGCTATCTCGGGTCGCCTAATGAACAAGAGTCAGCAATCTCACTACGGTCCGAAGTCTACAACACTTGGGTCTGCACAAAAGAGTGCAGAGTGTAGTATCAGCACTCAATAAGACCATACTTACTAACTCAATAACATCATACGAACTTATTTGTGCGATCAAATCGCCAAAATAACCTCAATAACAACGAATTAAACCTTAAAATCAGTGAAATATTTCAAAACTTCTTAAAGCATCAAACTTTGCATTTAGGGTCCGAATCACGTCAAACGGATTCCGTTTCTTACCAAACTTCACAGAGTTATCTTAAACCACATATAAGACCTGTACCAGGTGCCAGAACCAAAATACGGGCCCGATACCAACATGTTCCAATCAAAATTCATTTCAAAATCCTTTAAACAATTCAGAAAATAATTTTCTTTAAAAATTCATTTCTCGGGCTTGGGACTTTGGAATTCGATTCTGGGCATACGCCCAAGTCCCATAATTTCCTACGGACCCTCCGGGACCATCAAATCACGGGTCCGGATCCGTTTACCCAAAACATTGACCGAA